TATAAGTATAAATTAAATAACTTTATGTATTCCATCTTCCTTACTCACATAAAACAGTAGGCGCACCCGTCCTCAGTATCAGCTTTTTTTATAACGTTAGTTACATTTTTCTTTAATGAGAGCAAGTGATTATTGACATTCATGATACTCCCTCCTCTCCAGTAAAAGGTAAGAACAGTCAATAATCGAAAGTGAAATTGTATCCCTCCCCCTTCTCCCTCTGAGTCAAGGGGTATCATGAGGTTAATTTTCGTAGTTAACTAGCCAAAAGTTCAGTCTAGATCGCGTACAAATTTGTAGTAGTGAGAATAAAAGTTTTGTTATTATCTTGTTTTACTATAAAATCATAAAAGTGACGATGCGTGTGATTTGCGCGATACATATATACGTTCTAACTGCAGTTTAAACTTCCACAGGTGGTCTGACCCAATATTATAATGCAATCAATGTCCGTCGTCGTCGTCGTCAGATATACATCTAGATTTAAAGACCGTTTTTTTTTTATTTTCTAACTCGTTGAATATTTTTTTTCTTTACCCCACGATCCGTAATTCATCATAAACAAAACTACAAGTTTTGATCGATCCACCGCAATAGAATAAATATATATAAATATAATACACAAAACGGTCCGTCGAGTGTTTTCATTATACTTTATATGGATATTTTATTAGGTTCCAAAATTGTTATACGACCGCGACGATTCAATTGTACTTTCTTTCAATAATCTATCGTATACGGATCTTTCACAATGTATATCACTTGTGCGATATAAACCGCGCATAATCACTCATAATATAATCATTACATAATCACATATAATCATATATTACATATATCACAACACTACAATAATAATAACAAATAATGTTTATTCGTATAAACATGCCACGTTGAATTATTTAAAGTTATCTAACAATATTATTCATATCCCTGAATCTATAAATTATACATAATAAATAAAGAAGAACATACATCGCACGATGGGTGTACCCACTGTTGTTGGTGAGAATTTGGGAATGTAGGATATAGAAAGAAAATTAATATATATTTGTAAACAATGATAAACCACTGCTAACGAAAAAACGATTCTGAGCAGAATTCAATTGATAATGATGCTTTATTAACAATATGTATATCATATTATGGTAAAATTATTAAATAGGCATTGTAAATTGTCTTTAATAATATTTGTTTAATATTGTACAGATTTTCCCGTTTTTTCTACGTTTTTTCAAATTAGCTGGGAAAACTCTTGGGAAAATTAAAAAATGACATTCCCAGTCCAATTTTCTTCAGAAAAAGTGCTATACTTAAAAATCGGAGCAAGATTTCTGGTAGAAAAGTTTACACAAAAAACTTTTTTTTTGTTTTTCACATTTGATGAGAAAACTGTTGAGAAAATCAAAAAATGACCACCTTAAAGTACCACTTCAAGAAAAATTCATTTCAGAAAAGTGTGTAGTACCATATAGTACAATATAGTATAAAGTACGTTGGTATAACATATAATATCCACATCATAACTTCAAAAAAGTATAATTTCAAAACTTAGTCAGTCCGCTCAATTAAACTTCACCATCGTTCTTAAATCGGCAATATACATATGTTCAAAACTTAAAATTGAAAAATTGGATTTATATCACATAGTTTTCTACTCAAACGATTTTCGTAAAATTTGATACTAAAATTAATTTATAAAAAAAAATAATACTACATTAAACCCAATTTTTTTTTCCACATTATAAGTATCTCTATTAAATTAAGTTATTAATAAATAACAGCTACAGCCGTATAAGTTTTCTTAATATTATTAGACCTCCAATGAAACGGCTGGGTAATTTTAACGATTATTTATTTTTACTAATGATCACAAGTGTTTTATAAGGAGACTAAAAAATAAATTATTGATTTCATATAAAAACGTATTAAAAAACGAAAATAAATTATTTTTGTAATTGTACATCAAAACAGAAATGAAAAAAATAAAAATCTCGTCTCATATTTATCAAATTAATCTGGCCCGTTTTTTGTGAAATTATACTTTTGCGTGTGAAAAAAAAAATATATTTGCATACCTTTATAGTTTGTAACACCAGATTTCAATCTGTCTAGATTTTAATAATATATATTATTGTCAGACAAAAAAAAAAAACCAAAATACAGTGAAACCTCGATAACTTGAAGGAATGCCTTGGCCCCCGCCTTACAATATATTATATATGTGATACATTTTCTGGATAATTCGAATTTATCGATAAGTCAAAGTTAAGAAGAACGTAAAACTACTACCCACTTTTTATTTTCAATAACAACCTATTTTTAATTTAAAATACCATAAATAGATATAGCTTTAGTTTAAATAAATTTTGATGTTGGTATTTATTATTTGATGATTAAAGATTTAGTCTTTTAAATTTTAAAATTAATGGAGCATATTTGTGGGGGGGGGGCGAGCGAGACGAGTGTAAAAAATGCCTCGCTTCTCTTTTTCTACCCACATCACGGCAAACTTAAAAGTCAAATATCTTGTCAACGGGTTGATGAATATAACAAATTTCAGTAATAAATAATATTTAAACTAAAACTTAGTTATTTATCGAATTTTTAGTATAGGTTAATATTTAAAATTAAAAGTACGTAGTAGTTTCACCTCAAAAATAAAGGTAAAAAATAATGAAAATGTAACATTTAAAAACTACTTTTTCCTAAATTTTCTTAAAAAAAGAATTTTGCAATTGTTACTTTCTAAGATTTCTTATCGAGGATTAATCACTCTGTATAATTAAAAGGAGTTTTCTATGATATAAAATTTAGTTAAAGGGCAGATATTTCAATTATTTGTTCATGACAATACATGTGAGAAAAAGAAAACAGAATCAGAGTAGCTATAGAATGGAGATCAACACAAGTAAAAAGCCTAACGGAGTTCAGTTGATAGTGATACTTTGTCAACAATATATATGTCATATTATGGTAAAATAATTAAAAAGGTATTAAATATTTTCTTTTATAATATTTGTTTAATATTATACCGATTTATTTGATTTTTCCCATTTATTGAGAAATCCCCAAGGAAAATCGAAAAATTACCTCCCTATAAGAAATTTTCCAGTCAGGTTTCCTTTAAAAAAAAAAGATACTATTATTTTAAATCGGAGTGAACTTGCTGGTAGAACAGTTGTACACAGAAAAAAAAGCCATATATACGTTCAAAAAAAAGAAAATTGAAAATTTAGATTTGTTCCACATAATTGTTAAAAGCCCCTTGTAAAAAAATACTATATAAAATTTATTTTTTTTTTTTACCACAAAATAAGACGTAATGAACCTCCTGTTAAATTTTCAAGCATTTCTGTTCAAGTCTATCAATTTTACCATAAAATACCTACCAAATAAATATTACGTATAAAATTCTCAGAATTAGAATGCCTATAAATACCTCAAGAATGGTTTAAATTTTTTGAAAATTCTGCTACGTCTAAAAAAGGCTAGTATAAGTTTTTTTCCATATTTTAATTCTATCAAGTTGATACGAATATTTTTATCTTAATTTCAACAAAAATATTAAAATTTTTATAAAAAGCCTAAAAATGACTCAAATTTTTTGAAACATACCTCGTTTAGAAAACGCAAATATAAGTTTTGTTTTCAAATTTCATACCTTTACGAATATGTTTAACTGAATTACAACAAGTAACAAAATTGAAAAATAATAAAAGCATTATTTTCATAAATTTCTCGTTTTTTTTTTTACGTTTTATCTTGGTTTTTCCCCGATATTACGATAATCATATAGAAAATCAAAAAATGACGTCCCAAAAGTACCATCTGGACAACATTCCCTTTCAGAAATATTACCGTGCGTATATATCTGAGCAAGATTTATGGGCGAATTTTTGTACACAGTATAAAAAAAAAAAAGGAAAACAGAAAAAAATAAACATCTTAGCAAAACCGATACATTCTTCGTTACATTTAAAATGTTAAAAGTGAGATAATAGGAACAGGCGCAGCTACCGATGGAAGTGGGAAGTTAGAAAAATAGGTGAACAGACGAGAATTTAATGTATATCTGTAAGCAACGATAAACCATTCCTAACGAAAAAGCAATTCTGAGCGGAGATCAGTTGATAGTAATACTTTATCAATAATATATATGCCATATTATAGTAAAATAAATAGGCTCTATAAATTTTTTTTAGTAACATTTGTTTGATGTTGTATCGATTTTCCCAATTTTCCTACGATTTTCCTGGTTTTCCCATGTTTATACCGGTTTTTCACATTTTCAGGGATAACTATTAGGAAAATAAAAAAAAAAACTTTTCTAAAGTACCTTCGTAGTGAAATTTAATTTTAGAAACAATTCCTATCATCAAAAGTTGGAGCAAAATTGCTGGCAGAAAAGTTGTGTACAGAAAATAGAGGGCCATAATATATTTTACTAATACCTCCAATTCTTATATTTCCCCATTTTTTTCGGTTTTTCAAATTTGATGAGAAAATGCTTGGGTAAATTAAATAATGACCTCCTTAAAGTGCCTCCCCACGCCGATTTCCTTTTAGAAAATGTGCTACACGTGGAAATCCAAGCAAGTCTTCAAGTAGAAAAGTTGCGCACAGATAAGAAAAAAAAATTAACATCTTTGTAAAACAATAAGCATCTTCGCTCCACTCAGAATCTAAAATACAAAAACACAAATTTGAGTCAAAAGACAATCGTTATCGTTCGCCTTTTAACGATCGCTTTTTGAAAAGTTTATATCGGTCAAAATAAAAATCAATTTATCCGGCGGATAATACTACATCGGTTTTGGTGGTCCCCGGGGCGTCATGTCGTGGCACGGGCCTACCTACTCACTTAAAATACGATTGTCGACCGCACGCCATCACCAACGTTATCGCGGTCATCGCGGTACAAAACATATGTTTATTGCGACCTTGACACCGTGTTGCTTTGTGCTGCCTTATGTCGAGATTGTTTTTTTATATGAGCAAATACTACGACGCAGTAGTGTGAGCGGCCAACAAAACGCAATCATCTTTTCTAATACAACTGTACGATTACACTATTATTCAATAAACGCGCATTTGTCGCAAATCCGAAAACCGTACGTTTTCACTTGACAATATTCAAAACGTAAACCTACACGCACTGACCGTATTTTTCGAAATGAGTTCTCCGTTACGGTGTAAGTATTCCATAATCCATATTCATATAACGGTGCATACTATTTACTAATATCATAAAGCACGTAGGTACATTATTATATGAGGATGTTTAAGGGATTGTATGAGATTATTCCCCCAGATAAATGAGTTGGAAATACAACGATAATTTAATTTTTAAGTCGACAACTTTAATAAATTCTTTTTTTTTTTTTTTTTGATATTGTATTAGGTAGATATATGATTATAATTAAATTAATATCATCAAATATATTATTTACTATCGTTTATCAAAAGGCAAAATAATAATGGAAAACATTTTTGGAAGTCGGCCAATTCGGTAATTGGAATTGGAAAATTTTTAATCACATCCATTCGTAAACTTTTACTAGCGTCAGCTCTGGTTAATATAGGTAAATGTATACTGTTTACCCATTGTATTACAATTAACAATAGTTATTGCGCATCCACGCATATGTTGTATACATTCAGTTATTCTTGTTGCATTTAAAGGGCCGTGTCGCAATTGAATTTGCCATCTTTTTTACAAACGGGAAATATGCTTAAAATATCTAAAAAAAAAACTGCTTTTAAACCGATTTCAGAAATAAAATATAGCTACTTATTATATAGGCATATAGGTAATAAACGTATGGACAATAACATTTTAAAGATAACACCTCATCAGCGTTTTTTGAAATATTAATTAGATATTTAAAAAAGTATAATTATTAAAAAAAAAAATTGTATTTTTTACCTTCAATAATGATTTGGATATTTATTGAATTGTAAAATTCGAATGTTAAAATGTTATCATCTACACGTTTTTTTTTATATAACGGTTTATCATTAAAACTATCATTGCTACTCTTATTTAAATATGTTACCATTTTTTCATTGCTGTAATTACTATTTTACTATTGGTTTATTCCCGTTAAGCATATACAAATATGAGTAGAACATGATTGCGCGTGTATTTTGATAGATTAAATAATAAAAAAATACTAAAAAAAAACCAACACGATTCCGTACGATTTCGAGTGTAACATTATCAAATATATATACTATATACTTGTACTCAATAATTATCCAATAATTTTATCTGAAATGTAGAATATTATTATTAAAAATATAATTAATAAATAAATCAAATCATAATTAAAAAATGTACTATTTTAAAATACTTAAATTTTAATTTCTGAACATCTATAACCTTATACTTTCAAAACATATATCAATACGTTTGTATGGATTTTATACTCATCATAAACCTTTATAAAACATTGAAGTCGAATAAAATACTATTTCGCATTTTTTTGTACTCTGTTGTTTATTAATTCTATAACCGATCTTGTTTATTAAAATTTAAAAACCATAACTATATTCCTTTTTCAGATTTTATAGGTATTAAATATTCACACGTGTGACGATAAACGACGAACTGAAGGGCAGAAAATATCAATATATTTAAAATAACAAAATTTCCAACATATTGAAATGTATTTCATGTTGCGTTTATATCGTTAACAATAAACGTTTATGAAAAAATGAAAAGTATTTATGTATTTTTTCTAGTTCATTCGTTTGGTATATACCGGAATGAAAATCGATAACAACGTTTAAAATTTCGTACGCAATCGTGTAACCAAAAACAAGTGATGTCGTACGCAATCGTGTGATTTAAAAAGGTATCACCGATAATGAATGTACACAATCGTGTTTTACCTACAAATGTACAAATGATAAAAATACAATTTAAGAAGATATCGCTTTTAAAGGGCTTTTCGTTTGTTTTACATCATCGCATTTTAGTTACATTATACGTTTATAAAACAGAGGTGGCGAATGCAACTATAATAGCTTCCTAATGTATTAACTAATCGGTTTTTACTTTTTAAGTAGGTATTTTTTATTATTGGTTTTTGAATAATGACTTACAGTTACCATATCAAATAGATTGTACATTAAAATACATGGCTCTGATTAATGATTACAATGTTATGGGAAAAAATTTACTAACAAATTTAACTAGTGGTTCTCAGACGATAATTATTATTAGGTATAAATAAATTTGACCAAGAAAAAAGAACGAATTCCATTTTGGCGGAAATAAATTGTATGAGAAAACGATGCATAGCCTATAATAGAACATTTTTCGTTTTTCGTCAGTTTAAGATTGTCGACCATTGTATGATATAATTTTACCCGTCACGTTTCGACTGCCAAAAATAAATTACAGTTTCATAAGATACTATCGGGCATGCCAATTTCAAACGATATTATTATATTGTCAATGACGGAGAAATATATAGGGGGATTCTCATCCCCCTATCTCTTTAGCGTTTTAAATTGTGTTTGCAATGTTTGGATTCTATTTACAATTTTTCTAATTCTGCAGTTTCCTGTTTTATATTCTAGCTTGTCAACTGTTTAACGACTCTAGCTAACGATAAATTTATCTGGAATGACCATGTGTGTGTTAAAATTAAAATTATCATACAACTATAGAAGAAACATTTGGTTTGATAACGCATGGCAGTGACTCAAGGTCTAGAAGGAATAATAAATCAAATTTGGTATTTTAATTGACTGTTCGTTTTTATATCCATATGGGAGATCATGGTTAAACTGCTCAATGCCCATATCTTCAAAAGTTGAATTATTTCAATGCGTTTTATAAATATAATCAAATATTTAATTTCACTTGTCCACTGGTTAACACTAAAAGATTGAAGTTTTTGTGTGAATCCCCATTTAATATACACAAATGATATTGTGCCGTTTTGATTTTATAGGTCGTTTTATATTTTGAGTCTAGCAAGGAATATATTAGTTTAATTGTATGAGTGTGTGTGTGTGTGTGTGTTTATTTCTATAAACAACTTCTCTACCTTAAACTATAATATCTGTTATATAATAAAACGTTGTTTATTTGGTAAATTTAGGACGTCATTTTTATTTTCTTAGTAATTTCTTAAATATTGGGGAAACCGGGAAAACTTACACAATACCGGATTCTGTTAATTTTGATTTAGTCCAAGTTTGTTTATAATCCATTTAAAAATAGATTTAAAGATTATTACCAAGTACCTTGTAGGAATACTTATATTAGTCCTTCTAGAAATTTTAAATTGTTAAGCTATTTATAGTAACTTGAAATCTTCAAGTTTTTAGTTTTTGTATGAATAAAATTGTTTTACCAAGAGAAAAAGTTCGACAATTTGACCCAAGTTTATTATAAATTTATAATTTGTATTTTATAATATTAAAAAAATAATAATTATAGTACCTAGTTTTTTTTTTTTTATACGACCGTTTAAAGTTCAAACTTTTATTAAAATCATCGTAATAATTTCTGCAATATATTTTCAAATATTTCACTCAGGATCATTTCTTAGTAGATAGCAGTGATTTATCGTTTCGTTCCGATATAAATTGAACAACTCTAAACTCTAAGTATTTTATCTGCCTAACTTACCACTTATAATCAGTGTTTAAGCCAGGCCTTTTTTTTGGAGGGAAGGCAGGCATTACTAAAAATATAGTAATGACCTTTTTTTGTTTATCTACTCTTTTACTGATACCACACTAATTTATTTAATTAATTATTAATTTACTCACATTTAACAGGAGGAAAATAAAATTCTAATGGGAGCTATCGCTCCCCAGATATATACCTGAATTCAACACTTCTTATAACGATGCCACGTCTGTCAGCAATATCAACTTTTTTTTTTTTTACAGACGCCCTAATTGCCGGCGACGTGTTGGAAACGACCGTTGGCGTGACCGGTCTAACGATAGCGGCGGTCGTGACTGGTTGGGGCGTTATACCCTCGGCGGCAGTCACTTCGGCTGTCATCGGCGTCTACAAAACGGTCAAGTTATTGATGCGGATACAGAGGAGATTGCGATGATACCCGATGGGTTAGCGGACAACCGAAAAACAAAAAAAAAGAATTTTACGTGTTTGTATATTGTATATATGAGTACATTATAATTTATAAATGTTACATCCTTTGCAACTAAATAATTATTTTAACATAAACATACAGGGTGTCTTACAGTGTTATCCTTATGCTAATAATTCTGTCAATATTCATTTATTTTTATAATCGAAATTTATGTGAGGTTAGGTTAAGACACATATATAGAGAAAAATTGTATTTTCGTTTTCATCTCTTCATTATTGAAAATAATATAACTTTATTTTATTGCTTATCAAAATTTTAAAATAGTAATTTTGTAAAAGATATTCATTTCATAATTTTAATGTAACATACATTCATATCCAATTAATAGTTTCTAGTCAATAGGCATTATAATTTCTAAATTGGTGTGAAATTAATTAATTTTAAATAGAATAACACATTATGCGATAAGAAATCATAAACGGATGAAAGTGCATTGTAACTTATATATTCTATTGAATATTAATTATTTTATTTATATTAAAGCCACTAATATCAAACTATAAATCGGATATGAATGTAAATACATTCAAATTTTTAGAATACTATTTTGAAAATTTTAAAAAACACAAAAACAAAAAGTTATTTTTTTCAGTAATTAGAGATTAAAAATAATTGTTTTCTATATACCTATGTATCTCCCTCACACAAAATCCGATTGAAAAAAAAAAATGTAAAATACAATGATTATTGACACAGTTATTAGCATAAGAATAACATTATAAGACACTCTGTAAATTTAGATGTAATTTAAAACCTTAAAACTAAAGAAAAAATTCGACTGTTGTACAATAAACTAAAGAGATATGTTATATTATTTTGTATGTATCTACATACTGTATTAATCCTATTAATATAATAATAAATGAGAAAGTTTATACTTTTAGGCGTTTTATTTGAATTCAATAATGGTTGAATCGTTTCAAAAATGTAAATAGATTTTGATATGTACAATCGTACACTAGATTTCTTTTGTTCATTTTACTTCTGCTTCGCAGGAATCATTCGCTACAGGGGATTATATTTTTAATGTTATAGTTTCAAAAATAAATATGCTTTCCACAGAATCCATGACAAAATATTGTGGAAATAATGTCGCGTTCAAAAGTCAAGGTTAAATATCGTGAACACACAAATTTTACCACATAAAAATTAGTGAAAATCCAACACTAAAAGTTTTCAATTTTTCGTTTATCTATTTGGTTTTATTTATATTCAGTTCTTTATTATTAAAAAAAAAATATTTTCGTTTTGAGAAAGTTGAGAAAGTAATGGACAATAAAACCCCAGAAACGTCCTGCTCACAAAATATGCTTTTTACGCCTTAGTATTTTTTAAAAATGCTATTAAAATCAAAAAATACAAAATAAAATTTGTTATTCTTATTAATTGAAAAATTCATAAAACGAATGTGTAAAAAATACGCATTGCACAGCAAGCTTTGGAAAAAAATACAAAGTGCTTTGAAATCTCAGTTTTAGTTATGAGTTTGTTTTTCGAGTATTTTACCAAATTTGTATTTGTCCAAAGCCGCAAACGATAATAATAGCAAAGAGCAAAATTTTTTTATTAATTTCCTCTTATTTAAGATGGTCTCCAGACTTTTCCCAGTTAGTATACTTACGATCAGTATGGCTGATCTTATTAAATAAAATATAACATAATTTATTTCCTACACATTGCGTAAAGTTAACGGTATCGAAACTTACCGAGTATGCGCCCCACAATAGAGTGTATATTTTTATAAAGTGTTTCGTTTTAAAACTATGTAATTATATATGATATATATTTCTAGACCATTTCTAAATTGTTAAATATGTTAAAATATAATATCATATATGACTATTAGTTATCCGTGTGAAATTAATAACGAAATAGTTTAATAAAAAAAATTATATTTATTAAATATGTTTTTGTTAATAAATTAAAACCAAACCACGGAAAAAGTAAACAATTAATTATCGTTAGGTTAGATTTTTTAGGCCATTTTTTGAAATTTGTATTAATATTCGAGATAATGAGGAAACCTGGTTTTTTAGGTTAAAAATGATTTATAGATTTAAAATAAGGTTGTAATTGGCAACCGTTTTTATTTAATTTTCGGTTTTTATTAAGCTTGTATTATTTTAAATCTTTAAATAATCAATGTTGTCATAGAAACGCACGTTGAAATCATTTCACCTTAATAAACATAATATATGTACGTATTGTTGACAAAGCGACATTATCAACTGAATCGCGCTCAGAACCGTTTTTTCGTTAACAATGGTTTATCATTGCTTACAGATATACATTGAATTTCTGTCTGTATCCTACCTTCTCAACGTCCTACCTACAAAAGTGGCTGCACCCACGTGAGATGTATGTCTGAATTTTTTTTTTTTTTAATTTTTAACTGTTTTTCAGCCAGTACTACAAATTAAACCAGCCATTATTGTTGTTCTATCATCAAATAATTGAATAAAATTAGAAATAAATAATTTTAAAGGCCAACAAGTTTAGTAAAACACATCTAACAAATCTACTTTAATACACCATAATGGAATCCAACTGCCTCGATTTGATCCAACGAGTAAACAGATGCAAAGATAGAGAAAAAATAAGTTCTCATACAGTGATATTTATAAGACAGGAAACTGAGGAAAAATAAATCATTTTTACAAAATTTACCACTAATAAAATAAATGGTATGGTTTTACAAAGATATTTTTTTTCCTGTGGACAACTTTTCTATCAGAGATCTTGCTCCGATTTTTATGTGTAGCGCCTTTTCTAAAAATAAATTTCACTGAAAAGGTACTTTAAAGGGGTCGTTTATCGATCTACTCATAATTTTTCCCAGCGAATGTAAAAAACTGGGAAAATATAGAAAAACTGAGAAAATCGATACAACAATAAACAAACATTATTAAATAAAACGAATGAAGCTTATTTAATTATTTTACTATAATATGGCATATATATTGTTGACACAGCATTACTATAAACTGAACTTTACTTAGAATCTGTTTTTTTGAAGCAATGGTATATCGTTGCTTACAGATATACATTAAATTACCTATAACAGTGGCACCAGTCCCCATTATCCTAGGGCGTCTTTTTAATCTATCCAAACAGTTTCTAAATGTTAGAAGTCTAATTATCATGCAACCCTATTTATCATACATGCATGATAGTATGATAGTAACTTTCATGATAGTTCGATTTCGATAGTTATCAATGGTGTCTAAATGTTTCATAATATGTATAACATGATGTATAATTAACACCTACCTACCCAGCAATAACCTACCCTAACTACCAAAACAAAATTGTACTAGTTAATAAAATAAATATGATTTAGAGTTGGTTCGTTAATGGTATAGCGTTTGCTATACCTTGAATATAGGCTGGACACCACTTATAGTTACTATCATTATGTTCACAAGTTTTATGAATAGTTGAAAAAGTAGGATATAAATGGTAAATTTCTTTATTTATATATATATATTTGCAAATATCATTGCAAACGAAAAACGTTTCTGTCAAAAGTTATTTGTCGTATTGATTCCCCTTAAAGTCGATCTAATTCAGAAATGAATAAAACAAAAAAATGATGATCTCTGTGTTTTTTATAGTAAGAAAAATCCATAAAATTACCTCCTCGATATATCAACTAAAAAAATGATCTACATAAAACCAATGACGATGACCTATAAGAAATATAATTAATGATATTTTGTACCATCATTGTTTTGATTTCACAACTTTTACAATAGTAACTATCATCATGTGGATCAGGCTTTAAATTGCAAGACGCACTAGATTCGTTCGACCCTTTCGCAACAATAATAATTGTAAGTTTAATGTTTTCTCAATCGAGGAAATTCTTTTTTTGTTTCTTTTACTCCTAAAACGCATCCTAAATTTGTATTTAATAGTAACGTTTAAAGTTTCTACATTCCATAGGACAATCAACTTTAATTATAATTAAACCAGTTATACGAATCCCACAGAGGAACGATTGTTTTGCTATAATTTATCGTTTTTAAATGAAATGCTATTAAAATATCACGCCACCAAATTTGTGTACTATGTATACCACTTCCTAACAATCTTATATGTATACATACATTCGATTATAGGTGTTATATAGATAGCCAATGCTCTGTAATCCTCTTTTACACCGCTTGCCGTCTAGCATTTTTCGTTAAAGATCCCATTCGAAAGCTGATATGTTAATGGTTTATTTTATTTTCAATTAACATATAATATGGCCTAATCATCGAATCCTTTTGCTCTTGATAAAGCTATATAGTAACCTGTCCTACATCTAACAAAAATCCTTACATAGAAATAAAAATGCAAGAAAACACCGATTGATTTTTGTGCTGTATAAATTGTTGTAAAAATGTTTCATATATAACTATCATAATCGTATGTATGGTTTTTATATAATTGTTTTTGGAACTCTCTCCCTCAAGAACAAACCCTGATTGTATGAAACTGCAAAACTGCAGTGACGAATGCTTAGCATTCAGTGGAGGAGGATTAAATAGCCATATACAAAGCAATAAGCACGAAGTGAGTGTGTGACGACGAGAAAAAAGGGTATGTTGTATATATGTATACGCACGTTCATCGAAGAAAACGACAAGAAAACTGTTAAAAGAAAAGTGGCAATCTAAAGTATGCAGTATATATGTATAGTATTTGTGTACTAGGAAACGTATGTTCTCGCTGGGCTCGTGTAAATTCGGTAAGAATAAATAAAGATTTCGACAAGATTTAAGTCGGTGTATTGGGGCCGAGACGGGGAGCGAGCCCAGCGCGGCAAGGAGAATCGATTCGCCACGGAACGTTTTCTCGAGCCAACGGTAAATCCCGCGGACGTATGCGTGAATGTGGGCAATAACTCAAGATAAACTGGTTGACATTTTATTGAGCACTCTCTATGCCCCAGTATATGTATTATATGTTTATATATATGTATATTAAACACGTGTATAGCTCGAAGAAAAACGTAAAAAAAAAAAAAAAAAAAAAAAAAAAAATAAAAATAAAAATCGAAAACGAAACAGTCGAAAGCTTTTTGCGAACAAGGCGGAGCTATACAATATATGTATATCTATATCACTTTCTGTTGCAAAAAACTCCTTTTGACTTCCTTGTCGTTGTTGTATCACTACAATCAGTTTTAAATTATATTAAAGTCAAAATTTCGAAAACACAAAGATTGAGAAAAAAATGCAGGTGTTCATTATTAAAATAAATATGAAAAAAAGACGTCCTAGGATAATAGGGATGAGTGCAGCTACTTTTAGCAACGATAAACCATTGCTTATGAAAAAACGATTCTGAGTGGAGTTCAATTAATAGTGATGCTTTGTCAACAAAACCGAGTGATCCATTTAAGTACGTACAACCGTTATCTCGGAATGTATTACTTTTTTTGGAATTTGTTTTCTAGAACATTTAAGAAACAAGCAGCTACAATTTTATATTTATGTTATTTTTTCACCCTTAATTTTGGGTGTGAAACCACTAGCTATTTTTGAAAAATAAATCAAAAATAAGCCAAAACAAATTTAAATATTGAAATTTTTGATTTCCGTCAATCCTTTGACGAGATATTCTACTTTTAAGTTTGTATTGGAGGAGAATAGTGGAGTATCATTTGTGTAACGATACGGCATGCGGTACGTTAATAATGCACTACTACTCTCTTCCAACCAAAACTTAAAAATGGAATATTTCGTCAATGGATCGAAGGAAATCAAAAATGTCAACACTCGAATTTATTTTAACTAACACTCCATCTATTTATGGACTTTTAAATATAGGTTGCCATTTGAAAATCAAAAATAGCTAGTGGTTTCACACCCAAAATTAAGGGTGAGAAAAATAACATAAATATAAAATTGTAGAGCTGTTCGTTTCTTAAATGTTCTAGAAAACAAATTCAGAAAAAAATTAATACTTTCTGAGATAATGAGTATACCTACTTAAATGGATCACCTGGTATATATATCATATTATATTAAATGTTTGTTTAATGATTCCCAGTTATACTACATTTTTCCCGGTTTTTGACATTTGCTGAGAAAACTCCTGAGAAAATAGAAAAATGACCTTCGTAAAGGACCTCTCGACACCGATTTCCTTTTAGAAAAGGTACTACACATAAAAGTCGGAGCAAGATCTCTAGTAGAAAAGTTGTCCACAAAACAAAAAACAAAAATAAGACGTCCTAGAATAATAGGGACGGATGCAGCCACTGTAATTAGGTAATTACCTAATATACCTTATATACCTTTAAGCAATGATATAAACCATTGTACGGAAAAACGATTCTGAGTGGAGTTTAGTTGATAGTAATGCTTTATCGACAATATATATGCCATATTATAGTTAAATAATTAAATAGGCTCTTTGTATTTTCTTTACTAATATTTGTTTAATGTTATACCGATTTTCCCAAGTTTTCATATTTGCTGAGAAAACTCCAAGGCAAATTGAAAAACGACATCTCCTCTAAAGTACCTCCCTAGTGAAATTTCCTATCATTAAAAATTGGAGCAAAATTGCTGGTAGAAAATTTGTCCACAGAAAAAAAAACATCTTTATAAAACCATAAGCTTCTTTGCTCCACTCGGAATGTAAAAGTAATGAAAATTGTCTACTTATATTTATTGACAATAATTTGCCACTTTCCTTTATCTTGAATTACCCCTTTTCAGTTTTCAACTCGCATGTAAATTTGTTAAATATTTTTTCCCCATGTAAATTTTAGATCATATACTATGGATGGAGCTAGTGACTAAATATTTGAAGCAAATAAAGAGAATTAGGACAAATGCGTATGCGCAAAATTTATATTACGCACACGTGTCACGTGCAATTTATATCACCACTGGTTAAGTGATAACGAGAAATAAAATTCCAATATTAAAGTATTAAATGATTTACTAATACATCAGTATAGAATAAATAAGTAGGTACCACCTAGCACCTACGATAAATTAGGAATATTAAGTAATAAATATTTATAATTATAATCGAATTCACGTAATTACGTATACCGTATCATAATATTTTTATTTATTATTATAATGATTATATGACAAATATGCGACGAATACTGATATGCATGCAGTCCCCTTGCGAATCTCAATAATGATGTCTGCTATACGTAGTACACGTTTATAATGCAGTAGCTCCATTCATATGATCTAATATAGTATATGATCTAAAATGTCAATCCATCTTTTTCCGGATCTCCTTTGTGGTCTTCTTTCTTATAACCTCTATTCTATTGCCACTATAACTAAATAAAGTTAGGATAATTTGTCTTTAATGAAGCTTGTCACTGGTGCAGTTTAAGGGATGTCAATTTGAACAGCTGTGTATGGAACTTTCTTCGCCAGTTTCTCGTTGGTTTATCAACGCTATAGGTTCACAAAATGACCTTACTTTATTCTTGAATATTCTCAATCTTCTCTCTATTTATTTGGTTGTCGACCAAGTATCGCAACAATAAGTGAGAGTATTATGACACGTGCATAATAAAATAATGTTGTTAACTATTGTAGTATAAAATATCAAAATAATATTTCTAAAAAATTCGCTAAAATTCTGAACAATAATACAAATAATGTAAAAAATTTTTTTAAGACTAATAATAATTTAATAAAACATATAAAAAATGAAACTAAAAACTTCACGAAAATCTCCCTTATTTTGAAAATGCTAGTATACATAAATTTAAATTAAATTTAATAAATTTTATATATGTAAGACAAACACAAATTTTAAAATAAGACTGAAAGAACACATTTCTGAAATAAAATTACAAAACACTGCTCCTAATTAAAATTTCGCTAAACATGTTTAATAAAATAACCATAATATAAGTTTTGATATTAATACAAACTTAGGCCCGTTCTCACCAACGTAAACTTTGACTTTTAAATGGAGTTTATAAGATAATTGACCAATTGTGATCGGTTATCAGCCACAAATTCAATTTAAGAATCAAATAAATACCTTATTTTTATGTTGGTGAGAACGGCCCTCAGAAAAATTAAATTCCCAAAATATCATTTACATTAATTCAGTTTTAAAAGAATAATTATACACACATACATAATGAAATGAAGAAAAACAATTTTAATAATATTTTAAATGTACAAACCGATTTTAAAAGTAATAACTCATTTTAAATAATCTCTCCAAATTATTTCTATGTAAAACGACCAATGTGTATAATATTGTATAAATTGGACCGTTAAAAATTTTGCCCCACCATAAGAAAAACTGAAATGACGCTCCTGGTAATATATCATGTTTATTGTGATTATTTTACCATAATATGACATATATATTGTTGACAAAACAACACTATAAACCGAACTCCACTCAGAATCGTTTTTCGTTAGCAAAGATTAATTATTGAGTACAGATTTACATTCAATTTCCCCTCTAAATTCCCAAATGTTCACCTACAACAGTGGCACACATCCATCATGCGAAGTATGTCCGCTTTTCTTTTTTATTTCTTTGTCCAGAGCTACGAAATTTATTCGATAGGTGAAACAAGCCTACTGGATGAAGTGTTATTCATAAAAAGGATAAAGAAAATACTGCGGGTAGGTAGAATTACGGTTTAGTATATCGGTTAGAGTAGATCTGAAAGATAATATAAGTATATTTAATATATTATATATTATATTTTCGTTGTCGAAAACAGCGTTGGTGGCACTGTTGTGTGTGTGTGAGAATACTTATGTTTAGAACGGTGTGGGAGTTTATAAGAAGATCGTCATTTTCTATCAAAATCGAATCTTTAGCTCGGTTTCGTATAACTTTGCAAACGTATACGTGCGGTATAATAGCAATTAGCTTTATGTAAATACCTATTTATTATTTATATTTCTTTTTTTTTACAAAATTCTACTTACACATTTGTTAAAATATGTAGTACATTTTATTGTTAGTTATTAGTATTGTAATTAGGCAAAAGTGAATAATATTTGAAAGTGAGCATAGCTAGTAAAAAATATTTAGGGGTGTATACTTCTGTAAACATCCCAATTTTGGTGTGTAGTCAGAAATTCAGTTCCCTAAAATCTCAAATGCTTTCCTATGCTTACCTATGCGGCTATGCTCATAATTTATCTGGATAAAATAAAAGATATATAAATATATTTGTCCAGGAAAATAACCATTGCCTATAGTGTTTTAAATTATTATAATATTTCCCACTTGTATACAATATTATAATATATAAGAGGTTTGAGAGAGGGAGTGATAATATTACTATAAACGTAGAACAATCAAACTATATATATATTATATAATATAAATTAATTTTCATGACCGTATTCAAAACGATAAAAATAATTATACGCTTATAAATATTAATGTGAAATGGTGTTTGCGAAAAGAATATTATGTATCTGTCTAAAAGGAATCTCAAGTGACTGATTATAATGGTCGAGCGTTAATGGTCAACATAGTGTGATTCTCCAGTGCGCTCCAATGTACGTTTCGTTTCGCAATCTATTCCGCATGTATAGTAATGACTAATGAATTACCTATACATTTCGTATCTATTGCCTGTATAGTATATAACAGTATATAACAATTAATGTAGTCGAAAATCGTCGAGTCACAGAGTTTTACGATAACGTCTCAAAGTATCAACTTTA